TATTTAATTTCAAGCATTACTACCTCCAGTTCTGACACTTTGTCCTGATACCTGAAGAAAAGCAAAGCCTTACTAAATACAACTCTTATAATATTTATATGGATCTTAAGTATCATTGATATGTTGTGTGTGTGTTTAAATGTTTCTCTTAAAATGATTTCAAGGGCTTTATTTAAAGCCTTGCAACTTAATGTGTGGCCCCAAGACCAGCAGCATCCACATCACCTAGAAGCTTGTCACTGGATAACCCAAACCACTGACTATGAACCTGCATTTTAGCAAGTTCACCTGGTAATTCATATGTACAGCCGAACATATGAATGAACAATGTTTAGGAAACATTGCTTTATTGTACTCTATACCTCCTTGGCAGCTTTTTTTCACTTTGAATGGTACAATAGACTAGATAAAACTTCAAAATAAAGAAATTTTGGCATTTTTAAAATATTTTACTGATATTTTTAGAGATAGAGAAAGATAGATGGGGAGAGAGAGAGAGAGAAACATTCATCAGCTGCTTCCTGCACACCCCCTACTGGGGATCGAGCCTACAACTGGGCCTGTGCCCTGACCGGGAATCAAGCCTGTGACCTTTTGGTGCATGGACAATGTGCAACCAATGGAACCACACTGCCACAGCGAGGATTTGTTTGTTTGTTTGCACAAAGTATAATAATTAATGTGTTTTACTTATCGAAATATAATTGACATAAAACATTAGTTTCAGGAGTACAACATAATGATTCAATATTTGTTTATATTTCAAAATGATCACAAGTCTGATTAACGTGTCACCATACATACTTACAATTTTTTCCTGTGATTAGAACTTTCAGATATGCAATGCAATATGTAGTTATTATGCTGTACATTATATCTGTAAGACTTGATGATTTTATAAGTGGAAATGTGTACCTTTTGACTGCCTTCACCCATTTTTGCCTACCTCCCACCTCCACCTCTGACAGCCACCAATCCATTCTCTGTATCGATTTTCTTGGATTTGTTTGCCTATTTGTCTTTAGAGTCCACATATAAATGAGATTATATGGTGTGGTCTTCCTCTGTCTGAGTATTTTTTCACTTAGTTGTTCTATGCCAAATGTGATACAACTGTATTTATATAGATCTGGAATAAAAATACCTTAGGTGATTTCTAACAAGATAGCCATCAATAGTCAGTTGGAATGTTAAATTATTAATTAGGATCTTTTGAATTTCAGAAATCATTGAAGAATGTGTGTTTTGCACCTAATAGCTTTCCTCTGTATCTCAGAGATATAAAATAATTCAGGCTATAAATTATGAATTCAGTATATCCACGGTATAGAAAAAATGTTGTCTTTTAATGCAGGAAGTTCTTGCTTTGCACAGTAGTGGGAGACCATAAAAACAAGCATGCTGCAACCTGAAACTGTGCAAAACAGTCCATGAGGAAAACTATGATTGTTCTCAAAAGTTCTTTCAAAACCTTTTTCAAAACATTAAAAACTTGTGCGGTTGGTTATCAATGTATAGGGAAATGAAAAACTAGTAAAGCCAATATTTATTTAGTATACTGTCATTGTAAGCATTAGGAGCATCAAGAATTACGATGTTTTATTTATTTTGTAAAAAACTATCAAGTCTGGCTAGTGTGGCTCAGGGGTTGAGCATCGACCTATGAACCAAGAAGTTCATTCCTGATCAGGGCACATGCCCGGGTTATGGGCTCCATCCCGAATATGGGCCATGCAGGAGGCAGCCCATCAATGATTCTCTCTCATCATTGATGTTTCTATCTTTTTTCCTCTCCTTTCTTCTCTAAAATCAATAAAGTATATATTTTTAAAGAAAACAACACTATCAAGATTAGTTTGAACAGCGCTTGCCTTCGTTTCATCATGTAAATTATAATTTGAAGTGAACATTTTTTTTCTAGTGGCAGTGAATGGTCATACTCCTTTTTAAGCTTGGGTTAGCTTCCAAACTTATCCTTCGTGCTTTTAATGTTTAGAAACATCTCTGAGAGTTCCTTTAAGGTGAAGTTGATTCCCAGCGTCACTTCCTCTGGGACGTCATTTTCATCACAACCACCTTCCTCATTTATGTCAACAGGTTTGCTTCCGCTAAGTTCTACTGGCAGCATATCTAGTCTCTCCAATAGTGGCAGGCAAACCTCAGCAGTCAGCCGTTTCTTCTACAACTCCATTTATGTTTGATTTGAATTCTGCACAATTATTTGCACAATGCGCTGAAAGTCTCTGCTATATTGCACCCATGTTACTTGCTGTTCCCTCCTGCCATGGTGCTTGAATACCTTCAGTTGTATGCTTTATGTCATATTTCTTCCAAAACACAGCTAAACATAATGCTTGGTCTTCAACTGTGGCATCGATAGCCTATTCGAAAGCCTGCATAAGATAATAGGCTTTCAAAGTTGAAATAATTCCTCTGTCCATTGCTTGGATTAATGTTGTTCTTGGGGATAAAATCAAACTTTCACATTTTCATTTAAATACCCCAAAGAATTATGACAACCAAGAATACTATCCAATGGTAGCCATGCTTTAAATGTTCCATTATTGTGCCTGTAGTATCCCTGTATTGCTGACTGACATGTAAGCAACACAGCAATGTGATTTACAGTCTGTGTGTGAACTGGTTAACACTGTGCAGTGACTGATCACTGACAGACTTTGAAAGAAGAAACGTGACTAGTCAGTGTTCAGACGCACACCTGTTATTTATACTGTGACTCTGGAATGAAGAGTTAGCAGTGAAGTTTATATTTTATTCAGGTACTCACCGTATATGAGGTAACTTAAATTTGAGTCATGTTGCTAAGGAGCTAATATTATTTCATGAAGCCATAATAACTGAAATGTGTGCCTCTCAGAACTATAGGAAGTAAGGACTGCCTTACAGTGTGACTCAAGACTTAACTTCAAGACATGTTTTTATGAAAGAAAGAAAAAATAAGATACTTTAATTATATTTAATTGTTTAATTCTTTGATATCTTCCTGGAAGATTTTATTTTAGTTGCCTACCTCCCACCTCCACCTCTGGCAGCCACCAATTTTATTTTAAAAAAGTCCTGGTACTTTTAATACCACTTGCTGAGTACATGACAACAAGCCATTGATACAAATGTCTTTTAACAAATTCTACCAAATATTAAGTGCATTATGTGTAAGACACTGTGCTAGACTTTTTTTTTTAGAAACAAATAAACTGTTATGGGTTTCCCAGTACATTGATCCTTGTGCCCACACACACACACACACACACACACACACACACACACCCCACAGTCACACAGCCATGCACACCTGGCATCCAGCGACATGACCACCCCTGCATGTGAGGGTTTCAAAGGATTTAGAAACAAATTTATGAGGGTTCACTAATACAAAGAAAACATATATCCTGAGTATGTATTTTATGGCAGGTATTGTGCTAGATTCTTTACTTACAATAGTTCATGAAATACTCAGAGCAACTACCAGGAGGCAAGACATATTCATATCTTCATTGCAAATATAAAGAAACTAAGGATTAGAGAAAAGTTATAGAACTGGTCTGTGCAAAAGAAAAAATTTCACTTAAGCAGCACTTGCCGAAGAGATAATACTCAAAGTGGAATGCTGTTTCACCTCATCTGGTTCTAACCTGTTGAAGCGCTTAAGGACCATGGATGGTGAGTTACTTTGGTCAGGGTCAGACTTGACCTGGCTGAACTCATTTCTTTCTTGATCCATGGATAATGGGACTTGATTTACCTTGAACACAGACTTGTGAAGGCATTTCACTCTCTACATAATGCACATTTTTAATCCTTAATTAGCATAACCCAGTGCTAGCTCCTCCTTTGGGCACTTAATTTCCCTCCTCAGAGCACTACTCAGTGAATTTCCTCCCTGCTATGTCCCTTTGCCTGTCAGCTTTGATTTTTGAGCTGTGGTTTTTGTTTTATTTTCTGATACCCAAGATAATGCATCTAGCAATTGACAGAGCTCAAGTACAGATCCATTCTGACTGACTAAAAACCCACCTGCTTATTTCTGTGAAACTAAATGAGGAGAGTAAATGGCAGTCAGACCAGCCAGTTCCAAGGTATAAAAAAGGAAGCTGATTCTACAATCTAGTCCAGACAACTCTAATTCAATCTCCTCTTTGCGAGGGCAAGATCTTCCCCCTTGGGGTTCCTTCCTATTACAGTAATAACAATGATATGAGTAGTGATGATAGTGTAATAATATTAACAACAACATCACTGACAACTTAAATACAGCTAGTGCCTCCTCTGTGCCAGGCCCTCTTACTTTCCCGGCTGTCTCAAACCAGCCATGGGAATGTCTGGTTCCCTGGTGATAATTTGAAAGTGCATTCAGACGAGTCCTTTCTGTAGATACGGGGTCAAGCTGGCTAATATGGAGTGCTAGTGGTTGTGACAAACTGGAGAACTGTGACCAGAGGCAGCAGCCATTACTCTATTTCCATGACTTGTTGTGGAAGACTACATGCTCAGTATTTCCAGGTCTTCCTCTTATGAGTTATTTATATCAGCTTAGCAAAATACCTATCATTTTATCAATATTTTGTTGTTACCGTTTGGCCCCTTTATTCTCCCTTTCTTGGGCCCACCCTCTATACCCTTCTACCTACCCATGCCAGTTATATATATTTATTCCAAGGACATACTTTATGAACATCTGACTATAAATGGCACCTATGTTGTATTAAAAACAAACAAACAAAACCATCTCTCCTTTCCAATGGTTCCGTTAAATGACAGGTGAATTTAGAAAGGGGGAAAATAAACTATATTTATTTTACCAAATGGAACCACTTATTAAATGGTATTTAATCACTTGGCTAACCTGATAAAATAAATTATATAAATTATTCAGTCACTAGATAAATAACATTTTTGCTGAATCTAAACATGTGGCTTTTTCAAAAGTTTTTTGCCATCTGATGTTTTAAAATGTCTAACTAATGTATTTATCTTTTCAGTTTATCTTTATTAGAAGAATTTGACTGTAGCTGTAATGAACTGGAGTCACTACCTCCTACTGTTGGCTACCTTCATAGTCTTCGAACATTAGCAGTCGATGAGAATTTTCTTCCAGAATTACCCAGAGAAGTGAGGAATGAACTTGTTTCTATTAATTAACCTTTAATGATTCTGTTTTAAGACTAAATCTTAAGAAATATAAAGGCAGTTTAGATTCATGAGTTGAGTTTTGAATAGTCATAGGAATTGTCTAGGTATACGTGTATGTATTTGTTAATCATTCTCTTTTAAATGACAAGTGATAAGTTCTTATATTCAACCCAGAAAATGCATTTAAACATTGCTTGCAAAGAAAAGTAATAAAATATTGTACACTAATTAATGCTAAGGAACAAAATTTTGAATAATTTATATATTTTGCTCTTAAGAAAAGAAATAAATATTTTGAGGTCATTATATTTCCATTCCTGAAGTGAAAGATTTTTAATGTAAATAATTTTTTAAAGTATCATGTTGCCTAACAATATTATTTTAGTTTAAGGATATACCAAGAGGTTCTGTTAGTTTTTATCTCTAAACAGAAGTTTTATTTATTAATGTCAAGGAAAAAGCGTGAAGTAGGTTTTCAACATTTTTACAAAACACTTCCATGACAATGGAGCAATAATCTATATATCATTTTATTTATTTTCTGTTTTTTTTCTTTATTGATTAAGGTATTACATATATCATTTTAAAGCTCAAAATTATAAGTAAAAATGACAAAAACCATTGTAATATGAAGTAAAATTAACTTTACCAAAGAAATGTCAACAATACTTCACATTTGAATATGTATGATCTATTACAAACATAGATATGTTACTATTCGCTTGGATGGGCAAAATCAATATGACATAAAAACAATTAAGTGTTCTAATAATAAAATTATAAAGGAAATTATTCCTTCCTAATATGTAAATGAATATGAGATGTACATTGCCTTCATATCTAAAGCAATATATAAATAATGATATACATATTTCAAAGAGTGAGATTATAAAACTTAATACACATATTAAGAGGATCTTAAAAGTGATAAGGAAATATGTAAGTCAATCAAATTGTTTTATAAATTATAAAAATTAATATAAAAATATAATCTACATTGTGATTCTTTCCTTTTTGTTGTTTTACCTACAGATTGGTAGCTGTAAGAATGTAACAGTTATGTCTCTACGCTCCAATAAACTGGAATTTCTTCCTGAAGAGATTGGACAGATGCAGAAACTAAGAGTCTTAAATTTGAGTGACAACAGGTATTTCTGTAACATATCACAATCCCATATTAGTTACCTACTATAAGCAAATTATTGTTTCTTATTAATAATTTTGGAAACATATTCTATGTAAAATGTGTGTGAACTATAGGAATGCAAGTGTCATGCAAATATGCAAATATCCATTTATAAAATCCAGGAGCTAAATAATTTTTAAAAAGATATTTCGAAGTTTAATTATTTGATTATATTAAAACCATATATTATATTGTATTTTAAAATTATATAAAATTTATACACTCAAATTTATATACTGAAATCCTCCCATATGCAAAAAGCATAATATTATAAAGATGTGAAAAATAATTGAAATAAAAACCTACAAAATTTATTAATAAAATGATATGCATGGATATATATATGTATGCAGACATATATGTTTTCATGTATATTTTTATGTCTCCAGTAAGTTAAATTGGCAATATGTATATAGTCAACAGCACCTAAATGCTGGTAAATATATTGCCAGGAAGCTAATCCTAACTAATCATAAGGGTTTTATGTTATGGTAAGGATAACCAAATAGTCATTTAGTCATGTTCAGAATAGACCAAAAATAAAGGACGTGACAAGGGTGTTATATTGGTTGATGGGTAAAAAGAAAAAGTAAAAGTGCAGTTCATCTTTATTTTCACCACAATTGTCCATAAACAGGAAAGGATAAAAAAAAATTGACTAAAGCCCAGCTGGAGTGGCTCAGTGTTTGAGCATCAATCTATGAACCAGGAGATCACAGTTCAATTCTTCGAGCACATGCCTGGGTTGTGGGCTTGATCCCCAGTAGGGGGCGTGCAGGAGGCAGCCAATCCATGATTCTCTCTCATCATTGATGTTTCTAAGAAGATAAGTGACTATGCAATAGAATGATTGAACTCTTTGTTTTCAATGTTTCCATCAGAATAATAATAATATGAGAAATTGAGAGACTTTGCAACAAAACTGTCAAGATTAGCTTTTATGAAGTAACTAGTGGCCTGGTGCATGAAATTCATGCACAGGGGTGGGGGAGTGTCCCTCAGCCTGGCCTGCACCCTCTACAATCTGGGATCCATTGGGGGATGTCCGACTGCTGGTTTAGGCCTGATCCCACAGGCAGTCAGACATCCCTCTCGTAATCCAGGACCGCTGGCTCCTAACCATTCACGTGCCTGCCTGCCTGATTTCCCCTAACCCCTCTGCCTGCCTGCCTGATTACCCCTAACTTCCCTCCCCTGCTGGCTGATCTCAGGCCCAACTGTCTTACTTTGCAGGCCAAAAAAAAAGACCCAGGATGCCAAGGCTTCCTGCCCACTCTCTGGCCAGCTCCATGGCTCCAGCCGGCGCCACCATCTTTGTCACATCAATTTACATATTCCCTCCTTATTGGCTGTGGGTGCTGCCATCTTCATTGTGAAGTAACAGTTAATTTGCATATTATTCTTTTATTAGATAGGATGAAGAATGTTCAGATTCTGAAAGTTTACTAAGTGTGCAATTTCTCATTTGTTAGTTTAAGAAAAAAAATGATAATGTGAATTTCAAAAACCGTTCACTTAGCAGCTCAGTAATATTCCCATATAAGAGAATAAAACATCTTATTAAAAGAGTTGGGATTTTATTTTTAAAATCAGGATAACAAGGAAGCCTTATAGTTTGGCGCAACAAGAGTAAGTCATGTCAAACCAGTCTTGTTTCCTGTTTTGACTACCTTACTAGGCAGGAAAATGAGGGAAATGCATTGAATATTATACCTGATCTTCAACAAGACATTTTTCAAACATTTTTAATTGTATTCTTGTAAGATGAGAAATAGGTCATGGGTATATCATAGGAAGATGGAGTTCCAGTGAATTCCATTACAGTTCCCCAATAAAACCAAGCTCCATAATTGTCACCTGGAGGGAAGTTTTATGATGAGCTATGGAAGTCTCTTCTAAATATTAGTTTTGCTCAACTTTTATACATTAATAATCTGTATGATGAAATAGAAAATATACTTATCAAATATTTTTAAAAGATCCATAAGTTGGAAGGACTACTAATGGAGCTATTTTTTTTAAATATATTTTATTGATTTTTTACAGAGAGGAAGGGAGAGACACAGAGAGTTAGAAACATCGACGAGAGAGAAACATCGATCAGCTGCCTCCTGCACATCTCCCACTGGGGATGTGCCCGCAACCAAGGCACATGCCCCTGACCGGAATCGAACCTGGGACCCTTCAGTCTGCAGGCCAACGCTCTATCCACTGAGCCAAACCGGTTTCGGCCTAATGGAGCTATTTATTCAACAAATATAGCATACTTAAGTTCCTACCATGGAACAGACACATTGTTGAATGCTAGTATAAAAGATACGAATTAAATACTGGGAATTTCATAATATTAGAAGTTTAAATACTTATCAGGCCAGAAATGTAAGCTTAATTTATCTCCTAATACAGTGACTGAAACATAGTATGAGCCAAATTAATATTTTTAAATTAATGAATTACTCAACAAACCTTAACCTGAGATTAAAATTAATATTTCCCAAAGCTGAGGACAAAGTTGAACATTGTCATCAGAAAAGTAGCTGCTTAGATAAAAGATGAAATATGAAATGCTATCCAAAAGTCACAATTATTCCAGTTCAATATTTAACATATGATAAGATTTTTAAAAATCTATTATAAAATAGATTTGTAAGACAGCTTCTGTGGTACTAAATAAGGCTCACTTTCAACAACTGAAAGAGAAAGGAAAAATAAGGTAACATCCTTCACTAACATTCTTCATCCTCCACATTCATGGCTAGATTGGCAATGATTTATCATGGATGTTGTTGTATATTATTCTGGAGAGTTTTCCCCTCATGTAATATTGATGCAGGTGACTTTATATTCTACTTTTAATTCATTGCCACATGGTTCAAAAAATTCTCCTCGTAAGACCTTACTTGATAGTTTCTGACTTACATGAAATTAAATAACTAAAAAGTGGAAACAGCTTTTATGAGTAAATTGGATTAATGTTATAAATGCTAGTATAACAAGTCTATAAAAAGAGAATTATGATATAATTTAATATATTTCATTCTTTACATTATCATTTATGTTTTATAAATATTAATCTCAGAAAGGTTATTATATTCTTCCTAAAGTTATTTAGCTAATACACACTCTGTTGGTATTTGTTTTGGCTCTCAATAGCTTTGCATATTTACTAAATTATATGAAAGTGTTTAACTGCTTCCACATACAAAAATTAGTTCCCACAATCCTTATTAATTATTGTAACATTTTCCACTTCCATTATCAAAATATATTTATTCATCAATTGGCTAATAGAATTTCAGCATATTAAAGATGTAAGGAAATTTTCATTATAAGTTATATCTAAAATGTTTATCTATATTCAAAAGTGAACATGAAGAAAATAACAAATCCATTGGCATGCCTTGTTTGTAATACTTTGCTGATTAGCTGTCATGATAATCACTATTTATTGATCATGCACAATGTAAGGAATGTCAGATAGTGTATTGAAGTAGACATTTGGCTATTTGGCCTTCCAAAGGCTGGAGCCAAAGAAAGCTAAACAAATAATTTTTATTGAATACTGAAGTTGATGCCAAACTTCATCTATCTCAAAATGACATTTTTAAAGATTCACACAATGTATGAATGCTGAAGGAACCTAAAAACATACTTTCAGGAGTCAAAATAATGTTGGGAGCTATAAATTCTTTTAGTAGTAAGAAAAACATATCCGCTTGCCCTCATGCAGTTTACAATTTTGTGAGGCTATCTAATTGTTTGTTTTTATCACAAAAATAAATATATAATTACAAACTGTGATATGTTTAAGGAAGAAAAATATGAGGTGCTTTGTGACTAGATTGGGAAAAATAATTTAAATGAATAGTCAAGGAAAAGCCTCTTGTCCAGCTGGTGTTGCTCAGTGGTTGGAGCGTCAACCTATTAGCCAAGACGCCATGGTTCAATTCTAGGTCAGGGCACTTGCCTGGGTTGTGGGCTCAGTTCCCAGTGGGCTCAATACAGGAGGCAGCCGATCAATGATTCTCTGTCATCATTGATGTTTCTATCTCTCTCTCCCTCTCCCTTCCTCTCTGAAATCAATAAAAAAAAATATTATTTTATAAAGAAAAAGCCTGTTTAAGAAAATGGCATTTAAGCTAAGAGCTAAAGGATATGTGGGATTTAGTCAAGTGACTTCTGGGAGAAAGAATATGCTAGAGAAAGAGATAAGCTTGGCTTACCTTCATAGCAGGCTGAGAAAATGCCAGTGGTGCTGATGTCAGTCGGGAAAAGAGTAGCAGAAGCTTATGGAGAGACTCGGGGCCAGATCTTGTAAGATCTTAAAGGCATGGTTGAAATTTTGGATTTTGTCCTAGCTACAAGGGAAAGCATTTATAGTGTGTGAAAAGGAGGTTTTTACTTTTTAAAGATAGCTCAGGCTACTCAATGGAGAAAGAATTAGGAGAAGAAGAATTAAATCAATGTTACAGTATTTTAAACAATTCTTTATCAAAATGAACTATATCCATCTGTACCCATACCATTAAAATTTTCTTGTTTTTTGTAGGTTGAAGAATTTACCATTCTCATTTACCAAACTTAAGGAGCTTGCAGCTTTGTGGCTTTCTGACAATCAGGTAACAACTTTTATTACCTGATGTATTTTGTTTATTAAAATGAACTATAATTGAAACTTGAATTACTAACTTTTTTAACAATAGGTACCTCTGACAATTAGTATAAAATATAGATTCTTTATCTTCTGGAGGAGAGATTTTTGTAAAGGTAGCAATTCAAATATGTATTTCATTGCTGCACCAAAATAGAACTATAATTCCCAACCTTTTTTAATGCTTCAATTTAGTATCTATTTCACTCTCAGAGATCTAATATACAAAATGATCATTTTTATAGCATTTTAGCTGTAGATGGCACATATATGTCCTTAGAGGACATACTTTAATTATACCTTTGAAAGTAAAGAATAAGAAATTATTACCACAATCCCCACAAGAGGGAATTATTATCCTCTATGTTCCTTTTTTCTCATATTTTTAATTATAATCAACTTATTTCTAGAACTTCAAGAAATTTGCAGGTATCTTTTGCAATTATTATCAGTATTTTCTGTAAAATTGCTTTGATATTTCTTTTCTCATGAAGTTAGATTATAATTGGTAATAATTTTATTAACTGGAAAGTAACAAGAAACAGTTGAAGACATCTGATTTGTCACCAGAAAAATTGATGATAGACAATTTTGACATTGTTTATTAGTCCTCTTTTACTTTTTTCTTATAATCCTAAAATTTTGAAACACTTATCCCAAAATACAAATAGCCAAGTGGGGGAAAAAATCATGTTGAATTTAGTTTGTCATCATTTCCTGAGCATGAAAACAGCATTGTTCAGATTTCTAGGTATTGGGCTACTTTTGTGAAAAATTAAAATAAACCTTTACAAAGTGTAGCATGTAAGTGTAAGAATAATGTTTGTGCTTCTATAGTTATTTCAGCACTTTCTTCCATCTACTGACTAAAATATTAGATTATCATTCAAATTCAAATCTTATCAATGAACTGCAGATCTTTCAAGGCATCAGTATATCATTATAAATAAAGCTTTTCTGGAATCCATGTGAATTATGGTAATGGAACAGTCTATTCAGTCTTGCGTTGTGAAAAAAAATCCCCTAATATCATGATTTATTATTCTTGTAGAGAATAAACAGAACAGTGACTACATCATTTAATTTTTTTTAGAACAGTGATTTAATGTGTTTCTGACTCAGTTTCATGAGACAAGCTGATATCCCAAATCCCTTTGAGCTTCATTCCTATTAATAAATGTCATGAAATAAGCCAATTTTTAAAACATTAGATAAAATGATAATTTCCAGTATATTTTCATATATATCTATCCTAATAGATCAGTGGTTCTCAACCTGTGGGTCGCAACCCTTTGGGGGTCAAACGACCCTTTCACAGGGGTCACCTAAGACCATCAGAAAACACATATATAATTACATATTGCTTTTGTGATTAATCACTATGCTTTAATTATGTTCAATTTGTAACAATGAAAATACATCCTGCATATCAGATATTTACATTATGATTCATAACAGTAGCAACATCACAGTTATGAAGTAGCAACGAAAATAATTTTATGGTTGGAGGTCACCACAACATGAGGAACTGTATTAAAGGGTCGCGGCATTAGGAAGGTTGAGAACCACTATAATAGATAAAGAGCCAGGGTCTGTAATGTCCAAAATAACTGAATGGACGACCGAATGCCAGGCTGCGTGTGCAGCAAGCTCGGGTGGGCGGGTACTGGTGAGCGGGCTGAACTGCTGACCTCTTGGTCCCTCCTGGGTTGCGGGTGCCACAGCAACCCAGCACTGACTGCCACCGCCAAGGCGGGTGTGATGCGATTGTTCGAGGAACCCCGCCATCGCCCCATGATCGCCTCGCAGAGGGAGGCCCAGGCTACCCAGCCAGCGGCAGTGGGCAGGGCCTCCCTCTGCAGGGCAATCAATCATGGCGCTCCCAGACTGCGAGAGGGCGCAGGCCTGGCAAAAAGAACCGCCCCCTCCACCCCCCAGAGTGCACAAATTTCGTGCAGCAGGCCTCTAGTGTATATATATAAAAAGCTAAGTGACCGGCAGATAGATATCATGTATACTGACCACCAGTGGGTAGATGCTCAACACAGGAGCTGCTGAGAGCAACTTTGCAGAGTACCCTCTTGCACTCCAGGACCCCTCAGGGGATGTCAGACTGCAGGTTTTGGCCCGATCCCCACAGGCCAGGCCGAGGGACCCCACCTGCCAAAGGGACCCCACTCACTCCGCAGACACCCTTTGAGCCCTGGCGCCACCCCAGGTGTGGCCAGCTGGGGAGGGACCACAGGAGGTTGACTCCAGGGCATATCCAGCCCAGTCCCACCCCGCTGGCCACCTTCTAATTAATTTCCTTTCAACGTACATGAATGCGTGCACTGGGCCTCTGGTAGTATATGTATCAGAGTTCTAAACCCCTTTATAATAGTATTTTTGAACTCAAATTAATTAATAAAGAATGATACATAACCATCCATAGGTCAATGTATTAAGAACCTGTCTTTGGTTACAAAATAGCTCTCAAATATAAATGCTTATGCTTGAACCTAATTAATTTCATTGATTATCTTGCATAGCATGAATTTGATAGCAAATTCCATTTGGTGCTTTTTGGACAACAGCTTTTGAAAATGAATGGATATATAGAGCCATACCAAAAGCTTACTTAGTTTAAACAATTTAATACATTTTTGGGTCTCTTCAGGATTGAAACTGACATTGCTCAGTGAGGATGGATTATTTTGTAAAAGAGTATACTAGAGAAAAAGAACATTTCATTGTGAATACCTTAGAACTTGAAAATATTCCCAGCAATAGTCTTAGTTTATGTTATAATTTCTAGTTTCATTACTTTATCCTTGCTTTTCTTTTAATTTTTCATTTAGCTTGCTGAGTCCAGACTATTGATCATTATCATACATAAAATAAATATTCTGCATATTTGCTAGCTTATTGATCTAATTTATATGTGTGTGTTTTTTTGCTTCCAGTCCAAAGCCCTTATCCCTTTACAAACTGAAGCCCATCCAGAAACAAAGCAAAGAGTATTGACTAACTACATGTTTCCCCAGCAACCTCGTGGCGATGAAGGTAAATTGTCAGTGGAGATGTCTCCCAAACTTATATAATAATGGACCAAAGAGAATCATTTTCTTCTGATTTTTGGCCAGGAATACTAACATGTGGGCAAGGGTATAACGATCATTACATGACTTACATCATTTTTAGAGGTTAGCTATTAAGTATGAATCTTATCTTCACACTATAGTATTTTAAGTAAGATTCCAAAAACATAACTCTCTCTCTTTGTCATAAGAAAATTGACTTTTAGGATCAACTTCTTCTCTTGAGGGATTACAAGGCCCAGGATTAGTTGACCAAATGTGGTACCCAGCTCATTGAAATGAGCGAAGAGTCAGATCTTAAGGAAGATTCAGAAAGCTGGTTTAATTCCTGTGTTCACTAATTTCATGAACGAAATTTAAACATTTAATCCAATGATCCCAGGCCCCAAATTATTTCATGTTAAGAGTCAACCACAAAAAGATGACCTGCAAATGATGGCTGTTCTTTCTTTTTCAAGTTGAGTTTCCCCTAAACAACATCAGCAATTATGATAGGAGTACTTTTTGAAAAACCTAAACCTTTTCCAATAATTAAATCTTCTATCCTATGGCCACATTATTCATACAGTGTTTACTCGTAAAACAGTATTGCCCTTTACAATTTGGAACTCAGCATAGGCCACTTAGCCCACGACAGCACAGGCTTTCCTGCACATTTTCTAGTCTTAGGTCACTGTCATTCTTAAAAGAGTAAATCCACTTTAATCCACCAGTCAGTTAAATTCACTCAATCCACTTTAATGAGACTAACTTTTAAAATAAATTATTGGTATATGTATTTCTCATTATCAGGGATAATTATAAGAAATATCTTTAGTCTTTGATATATGAACATAAATGAATCATTTCAGAATATTTTAGGATATTTTTATTCATATTTGACCTACAGAAGTAGGATAAGGGAAGAGTCACTTTAATATGCATTTTTCAGACTTTAATAAAATTGATCTTTTGAATTTGTGAAAGAAAAGCCACCGTGTTTATAGATGATATAAGAAAAGACTTTTATAAGAATTATGTTTTATTCATCTACCTTTACTTATATTTACATTTTAATATCCCTACATTATCAAAATATTTCTCTTAAAAAGATGTAAAGAAAAATGAAACTGCCTTATATTCACTGGTTATTTCTGAGATCCAGTCTCACAGATTAAATTTCTAATTTGTTACAGGGAGTGAGGAGGATCTACTTAGGTAAGGTGATGTTAAGGAATTAGCCTTGTTTTGCTTTAGTTTCCTTTGGAAAGAAGGGTTAGTATTAGAACAATTTTCTTGAACTTTAAGCAACTCACCCTCTGGTTTTTCAGGCAGACGTGTATTAAGTGAATTTTCAGAACCTTGCAACAAAAAACAAGATATTATCATTAGCCAACAATTTGATGTAAAGATTTATAAGCCATTTATTTTCCCTTAAGTTGAGACACATTTAGACCTTCATGTTAAAGACTAAATTTTTCACGTTACCCTAAAAATAAACTCCCTTCCATTACCCCGACTCCACCTTACCCCCAACACACACAATGGTGCAATCTTAGACACTTTACAAAACCATTGTTATATAGTTAATACCTTTTATAAAATCCAGACACAGTTTAGTAGTTACAAATATGGGCTTTGTAATTACACAGACATGGAACAGGATCCTGTATACACCACAGGGAAACTGCATGACTTTGAGCAAGTCTTAAAACTCAGATATAGTTTTCTCATTAGTAAATTGAGGGTGATGTTAGTATTACCATTGTGCTGTTGTGAAGATTAAAAAGATAAGCCTGGCCCAAGTGGTTCAGTTGTTTTAGCCTCTCCTGTACACTGAAAGGTTATTGGTTCGATTCCAGGTCTGGGCACATACCTGGGATACTGAAGGCAACCAATTAATGCCTTTCTCTCTCTCTCTCGATTCCTCTCTCTAAGCCAGTGATGGCGAACCTATAACATGCGTGTCAGAGGTGACACGCAAACTCATTTTTTTGGTTGGTTTTTGCTTTGTTAAATGGCATTTAAATATATAAAACAAATATGAAAAATATAAATCTTTGTTTTACTATGGTTGCAAAGATAAAAAAATTTCTATATGTGACATGGCACCAGTTAAGTTAGGGTTTTTCAAAATGCTGACACGCCGAGCTCAAAAGGTTCGCCATCAATGCTCTAAGCAGCCCTCAGGTGATGATTAAAGATTAAAACAGATAATATTTAAAAATGTTTAGTCCAACTATTATTTTTGTCCTATGAAGAGCTCATTCTCTACACTGGAAACTTCCCAACCTCAATATATAATTAAAGTATACTTAGGGAACCTGAATTGTGTTAAGATATTAAAAGACCATCCTAGCTGGTTTGGTTCAGTGGATAGAGTATAAGCCTGTGGACTGAAGGGTCCCAGGTTCGATTCTGGTCAAGAGCACATGCCCAGGTTACGAACTTGATCCCCAGGAGGGGGTGCGCAGGAGGCAGCTGATCAATGGTTCTCTCTCATCATTGATGTTTCTATCTCTCTCTCTCCCTCGCCCTTCCTCTCTGAAATCAATAATATATATGTATATTTTTTTTAATATATATTTTAAAGACCATGCAACAAATATCAAGGGAATTTTATTACCACTTTCCTTCTCCTTTCCTTTTTTTCCTTTTCTCTCTTTATATCCCTTTTTTTCTTTGTTTTTTTCCCTTTTAAAAAATTTTTGTATTTGCTTGTAGTACCTATCACCATTGTTTGCATAGTGTACTAAGCTCTATTAAAAACATTTTATGCTGAAACCGGTTTGGCTCAGTCGATAGAGCGTCGGCCTGCGGACTGAAAGGTCCAGGGTTCGATCCCGGTCAAGAACATGTATCTGGGTTGCAGGCGCATCCCCAGTAGGAGATGTGCAGGAGGCCCTGACCCTGGAAT